AGTTATCTCGTTTCTTTCTACATAAACGTTCTCTTTAAACATCCAAGATTTATAATTAAGATGGAATATCTTGTATTACATCCAAATATATGAACTTTCGAGTTCGTTTTACATTTGTCAAGTGTGTGTGAATCACAAAAATTAATATTTGACGGTTATTCTCTGCTATTAATAAGGACATTCATAACATCATCCTACACTATTACTACATAAACTTGTGTTCTACTGCATTGCCCATTTATTTTCTTAACTATCTGTGCTGGGTGTGCGACAGTTACCCATCCCAGACAATGCGTGAGGTGTTGTGCAAGATTATGGATCGATTGAAGTTAGACATTTACACTGTTTGATACCGGTTTGGTGATGAACAGTTTGGGCTCTCATACGCAAGACCGAGTGTCCCTAGTTCGAGTCCCATTTGCAGGATCATGGACATGCACTACTCACGAGTCCAATAATAGGACGAAACGACAGTCTAGTGCTTCCAGGTTTTTGGTGGTGGTTTAGACTAGATTGTCTATCACATTCAACTTAATTATCAATTAGCTGTTTGCGAATAATAGCCTACTTGCGCGTGTTTTTGAAGGTTGTAACTTTTTTTCACGTGGTACTATTTTATTTTCCTATTAGTTTTTCCCTTCAACTTAACATTTATTAGCGATAAATAATTCGTCACTGATAGGGTTCTATCAACTTGACACCTCATTTTGGAACTCAACGTCATACATTAATTTTGCTAGTTTTCACGCTCTCTCTTTCACTAATTAACCTTACTATATTTGCTCTTAAATAATACTGGATCTAATCCTACCATAGAACGGTGCACGTCTATTAAGTTAAATTATAACTATCGCTGTTCACGTAAATTAAACTTTATATTTACATTGCTTCCAATAATGTCCGGCCATCTAAAAAACATATAATCTCTCCCGGTGCCTATGGCACCTTCAAAAGATCTAAATCAGTCACCAAAGCGAATAATGTGAAACCTTATAAACATATTGATCAGTCTGCATCCTACTCTGATCTTCCTTCAGCCACACTAAACGCGCACCGTTTACTTGGGCATGACATCACTACCTTGTATCTCGCTTGTAGATATAAATAAAAGCAGTCACATGCCGTTAGAGTTGACATCATTTGTCAGTCCAAACAAGAGCACCACATGTTGTGAGGAGTATTTAGACAGTGCGGCCGATCCCAAACACGTAACAATTTTACAATCGGCCATATTGAGTAGCTGCCCACGGAGTCAATGTAAGCCTGCCTACAATAGCCAGCCCGATGAAGTAGATGTTGAGTACTCACCCAGACTTGTACTCCATCCCCCAACTAAGTGTGCACAAGGTTGTCACCCGGTAGACTCTTGCAACAGGTCTGTATGTAACCATATCAACCTTAAAAACTCTGATATAAATTCCAATGATTTCATCACTGGTAGATCTAAAGGCAGCCAAACAGAACTTAGCCTCACCCAAACTATCCAAGACTTATTACTGTACAAATATTTAATCAATGTTCCAGAAAATTCCGACCTCGAAATTATAAAAAACACTGAAAAAGTAATTGACCATATATCAGCGGAAGCGTTGAAAAGACTTCAGTGTATGCAGAATGTCACAGTGTATAATATAACTGATAGTGAGAACGTAAAGATTGCTAAGACTACTCCATTACAACAATGTGGATTGTCGCAATCTTGGTGTGTAACAAGAAGATTACGTAAAGCACACACTAAAGCCTATTTCACTTTGGTGGTACTACTGAAGCTAATCACCTCCTCAATAGTCAGTCATTACTGAGGCTTATTCCAACATTTAAAAAGATTAGAATCATCCATGACAGGACTGCTATCCAGCGTCGAATCTTCAATGGACCACAAACTAATCAACCCACCCTACGTAGCAGTTACACCGTTTGCCAGTACACAAATCCTAAAACACTATACACTTCCCCTACCAAGAACGGAGGCACGTCGGATGCTGCTATTAGTCGTAAGAACAAGACTGCAGATAAAGCAGCTGCAACCACTAAAGCCTTCGATATGGTTAGTCACCAACTTCTTATAGGTAAACTCGCATCTTATGGGGTTCGAAATCCTTTGCTAGCTTTGTTTTATTCCTTTCTCAGCAGTCGACATCAAATAATTAAAATTGAGTCCTCATTGTTTAACGCTGTCTCTGTTAGAAGTGGTGTGATACAAGGTAGTGTCTTAGGCCCTTTGCTCTTTTTAGTGTTTATCAATGATATTTGTGAAGGTTGTTGTGTAGGTAAGCACCTTCTATATGCAGATGATCTTAAGGTAGTATATTCATTTTCCCCGCATGAGCTGAAAAGCACACAAAAATGCATCAGCATGGAGCTTAACAAGGTAGCACAGTGGTGCTTAAAATGGCAACTGGTGCTTAACACGACTAAATGTGGATGGATATGCTTCGGCGATACATCTCTCAACCTATACCCTACCATAAATAGAGAAGTGTTGTCTAGGTTACATACAGTAGTAGAATAAGGACTTAGATACTCCCAAGACTTGTCGTTTACAGAACATATATTGAAACAGACCTCCAAGTCTCAACGTCTTGTAGGTAACATAACTCAAAACCTTTATAACAATGAGTCACGTATTTTAATGTACAAAGTTTATGTTTGACCACTTCCAGAATATTGCACGTTTACTCATAACAGTGCGCGCATAAAGGATAAATTAAGGCTGGAATCAGTACAGAGACGATTTACACCTCGTATTCTTGGAGCTGATTGTAACTTATCTTATAATTCTAGATGTAATAAACTTGGGCCAAACCCTTTATGGAAGAGAAGACTCAAACTAAATCTTATCTTTTTCATCAAACTACTTAATAAACTATCCTTCACATCCAATCACGTGATTCAATATGCACAAACTTCTCATTATAACATCCGTAATTCTTTGGCACTAGTGAAATAAACTTATTGTAAATCATCGCTTTATGTGAATTACTTTACTTGTAAATTTTCTAGACTCTAGAATAACCTATCACAATCTATCTGTACGATAAAATCACTCCCATTATTTGTTCGCTGCATACTGGCCCTCTGGAAATGCATTAAATGTTCTAGCACCTGTAAGTGTATCTCATTCCACAAGTGATATACTAGGAACTTTAAATATTTAGCCATTTTTATCAGTGCATTCTCCAAGTGAAACCACCTACTTGCCGTCACTTTATGTGAACACCGCCCCTAGCAACTTTAAATAATTTGAATAATATCTAACATCAACAGTATATCACTGTGTCACATGACACATGCATTTTGTTAGACCTGATTGACATATTTTGGTAATTACTGCTTAGTTGTTCCGTGCTCTCTGTTTTCGTTTTATTCTCTCTAATTGTAGATAACTATCATTAATTCGATCTGGCACAGGAAATGACCTTAATTACACCGTTCATAAATCAACAGGGTGTCCATTTAAGAAAAATTAAAAGTTCCCGGCTGATGCATTGGACCGCTGTAATACATGGACTACCTAAACAATTACTGAACTAGTATACTTAAAACTTTCTTCTATCACATGTTTGTTCTCTACATCCAATGTTACTATTTATATCAAACTGGTCATGCCTGTAAACTGGCGTGAATTGTGTAATTAATATTTCCAGAATATATAAAATTATTATCAAAAGTCATGGGTCCTCGAATATATGATGGCCTACGTGACTAGTTATTATCCACAAACGTTTCACACCGACAGCATGGTTCCAGGAAAAATTACTCTCCTATAAACAACCTCCTAACCGTAATGGACAGATGGACATCTACACTTGATTGCAAAGTTGAGGTTAATGTCATATACCTTAACTTCTCAAAGTCTTTTGAAAGAGTCAGTCATATATGCCCCATCAAGAAGCTAGATCAATAAGCATCAATTAACTGTTAACTAACTGACTTGCTTCATATCTGAATAATCGACGTTTTGGGGTCAGGCTAAACACCACTTTCTATCGTGCTGTAGAATGTTCTAGTGGTGTCCCTTAGAGTTAAGTACTAGGACTTCTTTTCTTGATTTATATAGACGACGCTGGAGAAGTTTGAGATCAAGTTGATGAGCCGGTACTTCAGGAAGATCTGACTCGCCTTTAGAGTTAAGAGGATAACACCGGGCTCACTTTCAACTCTTCGAAATGTAAAGTAACCAATCTGAGACATGTTACAGACTACGCATACAACTTAGGTCACTCCCCTCTAAAGATATCCGAAGTTGAATATCTTGGAGTGTTGGTACCCTATGATCTGAAGTCATATGATAACTGTGAAAACAAGGCTTCAAGAACACCTTGCACTAAAAACGTTGATGAGCATTTTCGGAGAGTTTGACGGTAGAACTTAACACTTGGTTTCCATCAGTTTTATTCTACCAAATTTAGAGAATGCAAGGATAGCGGTTCCTCCCTCACTCCAAAAGGATAAGGACATGTTGGGACTTATACAACAGCGAGCCTTCAATTCGTTTTGGGGACTTAAATTTAAGTCTTTCGAAGAACTCAAAACACAGAAAATTTCCCCATTAGGGTATAATCGCCTAAAAGGTAACCTATTAGTGACTTATAGCCCCCTGAATACTCCTAGACACTTTTGACTACCTACTTATGCACAGTTTCAACATACACATTAGGGGTAACACCCAGAAACTAGAGAAACAACATAGCAGAACAGACTGCAGGCACATCTTCTACTTCCTAAGAATAGTAAAATACTGGAATTCTTAACCGGCTGGAGTAGTTCAAGCTATTTATCGAGAGTCTCTTAAGAACAAACTTGACATGTTCCAAAGGACTTGGGACAGTATCTCACCATAATTAACAAACACGTCTCTTTTGATCGTTAAGTATACCTAGGTTCCTATCTGGAGACATTGGCGATCCACTACCACTAGACACAGAAGCCCGTTAAGCGAACGTTTTTTATATTCTACCAAGGACCATTTTGAACCATTTGACTATCATCTTTGTAAGCAATTTTAAAGCGCTAAAAATCAAATAAGAAGGTCATCAGCTATAAGCGTATTTAGCTATGAGAAATGGTATATCATTTTGGCCAGTTAACTATGAGCACAGATTTTTTGGATAATACCAATTTTGTGGGTGACTGCGTATATGTATTTTTATATCAAAGCCAAGTGTGATGATCCAGCAATGACTAGGGTTATGATTGTCTTAGGATCTGGTAATGTTTATTTCATACTTTATGTTAGGTGGACACACTGCTGAAATGCTCTCATATACTTCTGTATTGACTTGTAAATTTCAACCACGTTTGTATGTTATCGCGACGACTGATTCTATGAGTGAACAAAAGGTTTTGGATTTAGGGGACAAGTGTGATATTAAAGTTAGTTTCAGTTTTGTATTACAAATCTCTAGTTCAGCATAAAGCGCATACCAAGGGCTCGAGAAGTAAAACAGTCATACACTAGCAGCATCTTCAGTACCTTGATGTCTTGTCTATCTGCGTTCCCCATCGTCACCATTTTTAGGGCGAAATTGGTGAGTTACAGAAACCTTTATTAAGATATACACATAATGGTCGATGTAAACTCATATTGTAATTGAGTGCTAGGGCTAGATCCTTAACACTGGAGTAACGTATTCATTGGCATAACTATTTGTTGCCGGAAAGGATCGGAACTTTTCAAGTTCCTAGGTCATTGATTTGCCATGAGTAGCTGTAATGCTTACCACGTTTAGCGTAAACCCGTGTGCTTTTTCTGAAACGCACCTTTAATCATTGCCTAAAGTTTAGTATTGTACTTAATGCCACATTTATTTATTCATACCTCGCAAATTCACGACTTTTTGTGGAATACCTATATTATAAACACCATTTATTAGTTGCTTCACCTTAAATATAATGGTGCTCAAGAAATGGTTTGACCTTGTTCCCAAATCAAGACACGGAAGTTCTGGAAAGACAAGTATAAACACCCGATAAAGTTATTGATTTTCTATGAAGGATAAATTTTTGTATGTACTTTTAGTTGATACCTAATTGTACTTTATTCTAGAGTGTTTGTATAGGATTAAAAAGTTTTTCGTGCTGTAAGTGACTAAGACTACTGTATTATAGTCCAGGGGAATTCGTGAACTCTTTTCAAGTTTAGGGTTGATATAAATTGTTTAGAAGCTCGAAGTATGTAGACTGTCGCATCTCTTCTACTTCTAACAGTTTTATTCTCCTTCATAAAATTTCAGTAACCAGATGTAAATGTTTATCATCCTAATTTTATTGACGGAATTCTCCAGTAATAATATTCCAGCCAACACTATGTGGAGTCTTTTTTACTAGCTCAATATTGTCCTCAGCTCAAATAAAGAAACTCCGCTATATGTGTAGTAGGTTAAAAAATGTGACTACTAAATGTTTCTTTGATAACGTTCGACACTTGGTTTTCTACATTTTATTCGTTCAGTAGAAAGACAATTGTATCCAGCTAATTAAAAAGACAAGAATGAACAATGCAATCGGAGTTTTGAGTGTGCTTAACAGATCTCAGTCACCTTGCTCTGTTGTCTCACCATAATCAAGCAACGACTTAAAGATAGATGTGATCGATTGCTGACAACCTGTATATCAGATTTAGAGGGAGGCCATATTACTATGGACAATCTTGCATGCCTTCATCAATGAGTAATAAGTAATCCATTTTCCGATTTTACAAACTGTTGATATCAGTTAATAAGTACAGTCAGATATAACTCACTGTCATAAAATTTTGTTATTAGTTCTTTCGTACTGTTCTGCCTTTTGTTTACTGATCCTGGTGTGCGAAGACCTCTAGGAACAAATTTTTTAGCCAACTCTGTCAAGTAGATCACAAAAGTGAATTGGGCCGCTAATTTAAGCTAACTGCTATGATTAAATAGGTACTAGTTGATTGAATAAAAGTCATCATTTGTAATCTGGACCAAATTTAACTTCCACACGATTATGACTTACAAACTGTAGTTGCTCAGTGCGATCACTTATCCTTATTATGACAATACATGGATAGTTACTGCATAGATCAACAAAAAAGTATGTGACTAAATTGTACTTTTTCTACGAGACGCTTCAGTTCCTGATGATATTTTTATTTATCTATTCATTTTGAGATTTAAAAACTGTTATAATCCTTGTAAACTTAATATATTTAAGCACATATATCCTCTTCAAACTGGTACTTCCCGTTGTATATGCTTTTATTGTTCATAAGACTGTTATCAACCAATTTATATACTCAATCCTTAATACAATCTGCATTTCACGTAGATTTTATGTAATGGTCCTGGGACATGTATCCCCATATGCTTCGTGGCTATTTTACTCCACGTAAGATAAATATAATGATTTAATATATTATCAGTTAATAATTGTGACACATCTTAATGAAAGCTATATTTCATGTTTCTGATTGCCGTATTATATCGAGTACTTGAACTTACTTTCCATCTATGTACTTTGTGTTTTTATATTAAATCAAAAAGGCTTGACTATTACAAGTGACTTTGAATCACTTTAATGATTGTCTGTAACATGCACTTGTTATTTCTTCGATCCCTACGTTGTTGTTGTGGTGTTGATAACTACTGTAGATGACTCTGAGTATCTCACAGAAATACCCGTATCACGCGTATCTGGTCATCTTGGTAACCAGCTTTTAACAACCCTCATAGCTCTGTTATGGGTTGCCTCCAAATGCTGTGGTGCGACCAAGGGTGGGGAGAGTCAGTTCTCCATCTCAAAATGCTCTTATATGACCAAGCGTATACAGCTACTGCCAGGGAAGTCCTACTCACTGCCTTCTCGCGGTGAGGTTGTTGTTTACGAAATCGAGCGGACGAAAAACCTGGTTGGTAGGTACGCAGAATCCACCTAGGGGAGTTGAAAAACCCTGATCCCAAACCACTGGTGCACATGGGTTCCAGGATTCTAAGAGAACAAGGGATATTCGAACCTATTGTTGGTCACCGGCTCCCATGGGACTTCATCTCCTAACGTTGCTCCACTGCCCTGTGGATTAGACCTCTAGGTGAAAGGCTCAGGAAGTGGCCCCCTAAAAACCCATCTGCTTCGGTTTGGGTACATGGGCAGTATTCCAGCCCTCACACAAATCGACTAACAAAATGTGGCTCATATATGTTTTGTGTCTCCTTGTACCAATGTTTATGTGTTTAAATAAATGAATAAACTGTCACGAGTTTGATCATTCGAAATAATGAAGCTTAATCAAGTGATAAAATAGCCCCAAGCAGTTGGCAAGATGTTATTGTGTAAAACTTAATCATTCAAGAATAACAAGTCTCTACTCTTCTGAAGTAATAAGAAATATTTAGGTTCTACCAAGTATTTTTATAAAACCCAGTTAACTAGTACAATGTGTTTGTTCGTGTGCACTTTAATTGCTTTTAATGTTGGCATGTCATCCGTTTAGCAAAGGATGTGGTCCGTAAGCGGAGGACCTTCTGCGCTGTGTCCCTGATTTTTGCACTTTCATCCTACTGTAAAAAGTTTTAAAGTCGAAACTTTACACTGAATTCATTCTCGCCCATAAAATTTCTGTGATAAAAAACACTTAAGTAGGTTGTGCATGATATCCATCTTCTGCTTTTTTGATCAGAAAATTTTTGGCCTACATAGAAGGTTCATATTCAGTAGGATTGTAGGTTTAGTTAAAGAGATTTTGAGATGCTACTTTCATTTTTATTTCTTAGCAATAAATTTTTCATACGTGGAATAATTAACTAAGATCTAACTGGAAAGTCTGAATTTTCATACCTTAATAAAAGCCAAAATTGTTACCTTATGGTATCCATCCGTCTAATTTTCATAGACTATATACACTGAGTTATATTCTGAAAACTGATTTAGTGAATCCAGTTAAATAACCATACTGCGGTTCATAATCCCTAATCTGAAATTACATTTATTAAATATGATAAATGCTATTTATTTCCTAATAGTTTAAGTTAGGGTATTTGTCAAACAGATCTAGAAATGTAGTATCACGAAATACTTAATCACTTAAAATTGTAGCACACCAAAAGCACATAGAATAAGATAAAAAACTGGAGAATACAATGATACTATTTTGTGTTACCGTAGCCATTACTTTGTTCGTTTTCTTTTTCCTTTGATAACTTGATGACTAGTGTCACTTGGTAGAGTAGTGATGTATTAACAGGCTTCTCATGAACCGTCATATCCACACTAATCTATTAAAGAAACCACCATAAACTCAGAATTCTAAACATCGTTTCAGTTTTTCTCACGTTTAATATACTGATCGTTAAAGGAAACTCTAATTTGCTTATGTGATTCTTTATATATTGTTTTCTGCTTTTCTCTTTTTTTCATCAACAGATACTGAGAATTCATTCAACTCTTATAATTTTTGTTGAAAGTATTTGTCGTACCAAAACTTTATCATTATCTGGGAAAATTTTATACTATACTCGTTTAGTAGATGTAATTGTTCAGTGGCCAGAATTGAAGACAAAATATCCAAGATCAATTTACTTAGGACTTTTATCGTAAACTACTGCATCCGATCATCCTTTATATATTACTTACATCCAAAGGACTTTTCTTTTTATATTTATAATATGTGTTTTTTGTTCTATGCGATCATCGTTTGAGATTCGAAATACATTTTACATTTGGTTAAAATTATCGCTGTTAGATCAAAAACGGGGAATGATTGTACACCTATATACCAACTATTTTATTTCAGAAACGATAATTAAAGCTCTCTATATGTCTCGCTATTAGTTCGCTGAAAATAAAGTCCATTGCTTCAAGTTTAGGAACGTTAGTAAATGGATAAAAATGTTTATTTAAACAAAATGATGACCTTTTTAAACTGGTATTAAGGAATCATGTGACTGACAATAATTTGGAAACAGCTAATAGACCCACTAAAAAATTTAAACAACAGGGTTTTATTTCGAAACAATTGTCCAAAATGTTGAAGCATACAGAGAGAATAACACCAAGATTGTATAGTCTGGCTGAAATACATGAAAATGTCTTGGCTCCTTAACCTGTTTTAGATACGAGTAATTTCGCCTATCATGCTACAGTTAAGTGATTAATATGAGTCTAAAAAATGTTGTAATCGTGTAAATGGCTCCTTTGAACCTGTTGATAATGTAGTCAAAATAACTTAGTGATATCATTAAATGTGACGTTTCTATTCACTAAACCCTTCCTCCTGGAAACAATTTCTCCTGAATTAATAGAGAAACAGAAAATTTAATCCTTGTTTTTTCAATGAACAACAACCTAATTTCCTTAGTTTATTCAGTCAGTTATAGAGTAATGCTTTCTTTTCTAAGATATTCCAAGTTACAACTTATTAACTAGTTCCATTTTCGATTTATCAATTCAGTCACTATTGACTTCAGAGTTCTATTAAACCAATTTTTCGTCAGAACAATATCTATTTCAAAAGGAGAATTGTAACACCGACTAGTATTACCATAAAATAACTCATTATAGTTACAAGTTAATAAAATAAAAGCTGTTACGTAATGCACATTATCTGATGTTCACTTTTGTATTACAAAATTAAGAAAACCCCATCTAGACTAAAATTTAAAACAAATGACTTACGTTCGTTACCCCTCGTGGAGGAGCATAGGTTGCCTACCAGCTAAAACAAATGACGTCTCTTACATATCAAGTGATTAAAATTGCTTCATATCTCTCTTTCTTCGTGTACTATATCCTTATTGCAATCTTTCTTTTATATATTACCACCTCTGAATTAACTACTTTTATGAATCCGGTGTCCATCTTGTGTTAATGAGGTGTGGCAACTTGGACTGGTGCATATATGTGCCTGGTCCTACGTTGTAGCTGACTGACTTGATGACTTCGTACACTAAGGAACGGTATATTTTGGGATCGAGAAGTGTAAGTTGTCTGCTGCTTAGTAGAGGATATCTTATTTTGCAAAAGATCTTTTAGTATCACTCCGACTGAGCGTTTAGATCAATAATTCTGTTTGATAACCTGTTATTAGTTGCTCACACCGTGTCAGTGTGTAGCATCTATTGATTAGTACCATTTATAACACTAACAATCAAAACACGTCCAAATCCCTTTTGATAGCACAAACTTCATCCTGTTTATGAACAAACTTTTAATTCAACAAATTTATTTCCTATCCATGAAAGGTATAAAAGATTAAGAATACCTAGAATCATTTTGACTGGTTTGTATGAATAATTCATCTAATTACTTATAATTATCTGTAAGCCTAGTTGTATTTGATAAAACTCTGAAACAAAGGGCTAGTTCAAACAACTTTCGTGGACTGGCATAAAATAATTTTATATAAAAGTTTGAAAATTCATTGGGGAATTGTGAAATTTAATTTTAACTTTATTTCTGAAACAGAAATGAGTTTCTATTTCAAAATGAAAAAATTGGAATAAATAGACATATATATAAAGAATGTATATTTTTGAGTTTTCCACTAACCGAGTATACTCAAGTAATCACTACTTGTTTATGATATCACCTAGAAAACACTGTAAAATTACGCGGCACTGGATATCTGTTCCGTTCACAAGCCTCCCATTAAGGTAATAACTCTGAGCTTACCAGTGACTAACCTCAAGAAGAATTCGTAGCTCTAGTGTGAAGTTGTCAACGGTGAAGTTCAACTATGGATTTAAGATGAATATCGTTAGTTACAATCGATGGCTCTCATGTAATATTGCTCAGTAATTGAAGGTGCGGATCTGAATCATTGGGTTTCAACTCAAATGTCTAAAGATATTACGAGAACTGTGTGCCTCGCGTTCAGTTCGTGGCATTGTCTGGGATATGGATTGCTGAGGAGTCTTAAAGTTAGTGTGAAACTACTGTTTTCTAGCTCCCGCTATATCAAGCCAAATTCAGCTCGTGATGTGAAACATCTCCGTACATTACAAACTTTCCACCATAATACTATCCCTTTAGATAAATTACAGTAATATGAGCATGGTGGCCTGATTCAATTACCCTTTTGTTACCTGCATATCTGTTATGCGTAGACATTTTATATATTGTATTATTTAAATATTCATCTTATAAATTAGTTATACTTTAGGCACTGAATAACACATGCGTTTCTTCCTTTCTGGGGCTCACCAGCTGGGTCTACTTTAATCCCAGTGTTGGTGTCCACACTGAAACTCATCACTTATCGCTTCCGACACAGGGTTATACATTAGATTTCTCAATCACAATAACTACCAACTTATGTTAGCCAATACTGAAAAGACAGTCAATCTTCAAAATTAAGCAATATCAAGAAACGTATGACAAAGAAAAACCGACCAAATATAGTCTTGAATATTAGCGAAAAACGCAAATAATAAGTAGGCATAAATCTGTGAACCAGGCAAACAAATTATGATTACGAGTATTTGAATTATAGTACGAACTAAGAATCCCAGAAATAACGTAATCGGATCAAGAAGTACTAGATAAGCACAAACGAATGTGTTGTATTTGGGATTCGAAATCAAGCACTCAACAAGTACAAATGAATCATTAGTTCATTCAAACACCACATCCGCCACAGCTTAAATTAGACTATAAGTGTCTAATCGATTGTACGTATTCTTAAGTTCTTCCTGTGTCTGTCCGACATTGTATTGAATAAAAACTCTGTATTATATAGAATGTACTCAGTATTGGAATTAACAACCGAAATCGGGACAGACTCACTTGGTTCCTGGGATTGTATACAATCGCCGTGTCGGTTGTGTACCGAAACCACTATCTAGAATTTAAAGCACAGATTTCCCAACACTATCCTCCCCCACGAAATGATGTTTGATCTTTATATGCCCAAGTTATGAATGATGTGACTTCATTTAAAACATATTTCTCATATTGACTAGAGTAAACATTGGAAGTGACTTCGTGATAAGGATAAACAGCAGTTGATATGAAATTATTCGAATTGTAACCAAACTCGAGCTCATTTAGTACTTGTGCTTCGCACTGGACAAGTTTCCTACAAGAAACAAATGCATTATGAGGACAAATAATATTTGATAGAGTATCAAGATTTGATCCTTCTGAAATAGTCTCTTCAAATTTATTAAGAGTGTCATTGCAGAGTAAGGGATCATTAGAAAAATCAGCATCTATCAAAACTACATCAGGTTTTTGATTATGACTAGGTTCATTCAACATATTTTCCTCAGATTTGCAAGGAATTTCGTCAGAATTAAGTGAATCATTAGGAAAAACCATATCTGGTAAAATAACATGAGAAATCTGATAAGTCGATTGATTAGAAACTGTTATTTCGCAAGAATTCTGAGTTTCATTTAACTCTGAACTGCTATATGACTCTACACTGTCTTTTGAAATCGTTGATAAAGATAAATGATCATTATAAATACTCAACTTAATAGAATCAGAATTACAAGACTGAATATCAGTTGCAGCAAGATGTACAGTAGTATTACAAACTGACTGAGTATGTCCAATATCACCACATTTAAAGCACTTTGAATTCCGAAATTTACATGAATTAAAAGAGTGGAACCTGCCACAGGACAAGGATTGACTAAACTTGCGCCCATCTTCGTAAACTGTATTGGAACTTCTCAATGAATTATCTGCATAACCTTGAGTATGCACTGGGTTGGGATGACGTAATACAGTGGAATTTTTTATATCCTCATGAATCATTTTACGAAATCTTCCTTCTTTACCACATTCGAAATTTGTATGCTGAACATAGTCTAGTAGTAGTTCCTTGAGAGCTGTGTAAGAAAGCAAAATGGGCTTTTCCGGTAAAGCCAGAGTTTTTAATAAGCTATATGCTTCTTTTCCGATGAATGTGAGGAAATGTGCTACAATATATACACCACAAATAAAGTGACCAACAGTTTCAACTAACAGGTTAGTATACACAGGTAGTGGGTGACTGTATGGGCTAAGTACTTAATTATTTAACAGCCGGTTTTAGTAAATTTCAAATAAGTCCAACAAATAGTTTAATAACCAGGGACAATTAGTGATCATTTTCAAGAGTTTGATAGCTAGGAAAACCTTACAATATAGTAGATTGCTTAGACTACTTATCGTTATATACAACTGTAAATTATAACAACACCTGAGAAGTCATAGTTGATGGAGTATTTAGAATGAAACACGTCAAATAAAAACGATAATCAGATTAGAATGTATGACACATGAATACTAAATCTGTGCAGGTGATAGGGTAACAAGATAAAATAATAAATACTTGAATTCATTACTATAATTGTAAAAATATAACGTGGTTGTTCGTAAAAAAACGAAATATTAACTTATATTGTTATATATATATATTCAGTACAAACATGCTGTCATTATTTGTAGTTTGATCGGCGTTCCAAAATATAGCACTTAACCTTGTGATCCATTTTATCTGTGCGTCTACCTTCAAAAGATAAACTACATTTTCTGATATTCATAGTGTAGTTTATGCTAATTATGTTGACAGATATAAGTAATATGTAACATAGATCAAAACTAAAACCCCTATCAGAAGAAAGTTGAAATGATTGAACTGAAGAAAATAGAAAAGGAGAACATGAAGGAATTGAGAATTAAAAAAGATTCATGAACAATTCAAAAACAACTTATGGAAGCTTTGCAAATAAAGTAT